TGTGTGTGTGTGTGTGTGTGTGTGTATGTGTATGTTAGACCGGCTTTATGTGTTTATGTAGTATGTTAGACTAGTTTAAGTGTTTATGTAGTTAATAAAACCTTACTTGTATCACACTTGACGTGTTCATTGTTTACTCATAACCGGAGTCAATAATCATGCAGATTTACGTTACAAACTTATAGAATTGTACAGTAAGAAAGTTATTTCCTTTAACCAGGAAATTAACGTTCTTAGAATTGACAAGACGGTTGACCCTGAGTGGTCAGCTAAATATCTACAGTGGGTCTAAAATATGAATAGTTAATTATAACTAGTTATGGTTAATTATTCATATTTCCCCATGAGCTGATTCGCTACAGCGGTGTTATTTATGTATTTCATTGCACTGTCACATGCAAATGTCATTCCATTTTTCATATGCTACGCAATGAAGGCTGTTTATCAGAGCTGTAGGTATAACAGATTTATAACAGATGTCCAAGCCTGTGTTGAAATGCAGGCCATGTTGTTGCCCTGTAATATCACAAGGATATATTTAGATGGAATAAAAGCAGGAGGGGTGTTGGTTAGTGCAAACTGATGCTTCCTCCAGTCATGTGACCTTGTATGGTATTCTTATGGGTCAGTGTTATAAAAGCATAGGTTGCTGTGTTTCACTCCCATTGTTTGGTTTGTGTGAGCATGGGGCTTTACTGCTGCTTGAAATCTGAGTTATATAAACACACTTGGCAGTTCTTACCTTGACAGGATTGAGGTTAGTAGTCATGATGATTTTGTGTAGGGGTCCTGCTAGTTTGGGGGGTAGTTTAGGTTCAATCTCTGAGCCCTGGGGTCTGGTGTAGTATTCCAGCCTCGCACGAGAAAAGAAATTGTTGATCACTGTCACACAGTCATGCTGACCTGCACAGGGCAGAAAGATTAAGATTATTTATTCATTAGTAAGTAGTAAATGTGCATACGCATAGGAATCACTCACCCACAAAGGCAGCCATCTGAGCAGCAGTCCGTCCCACGGAGTTGACCAGATCTGTCTCTGCTCCAGCATCTAAGATCATCTCTGTTATTTCTGCATTACCTGTAGGATTATTCAGATTAGATGAGCTGGGAAAACTTTAGATGCCATTTTCAGATTATCTACACTATATAGAATACTGTTCAAAAGTTTGGGGTCAGTAGTATTATTTTTTTAAGAAATGTATACATTTATTCAGCAAAAATTCATTAAATTGATCAAAAGTGAAGACGTTTATAATGTTACAATATTTATTTTAATATAAATGCTGTTCTTTGGAATTTTCTATTCATCCAAGAATTCTAAAAAAAAAAAAGGCAATATTGCAATTAAACTTTTCTCATATAAACACAATACTTCAATCAAATTGATGTGATTAAGCTCATAATCATCCAACATAATCATAGTAAAATATGTGGCGCATACAGATTGCAATCGCAAAGAACAGATATGTAAACATATTACTGCGATTAATTCCTTACACTGATTATTGGAACTAATCAAATATTTCTGATCAAATAAATGCCATCTTGGTGAGCTTAGGAGACTGCTAAAAACTACTGCTTTATTGCTTTAAAACTGGATCATTTTATTGTTATTTTATGAATAGTTGATAAGAAAGAAATCACCAATACATGCAAACGCATTTTACAATATATTTTATGATATTATTCCAATTTTACACACTTTTCTGCCCTACTTGTGTGTTTCTGTGATGATTGTGCTATTTGTGCAACCCAATGCAAGGTCGTCTCTTGAAATTCATTCATAAATGACCTTGCAAAAGCTGTTACCGAGGCAGTGCCCTTTCAAAAGGTACTCAAATATGTACAATATGTGCCTTTAAGGTACTTATACAAACTTTTTAGGGGTAAATAAGATCCAAAGATGTGCCTTTTGAAAAGGTACCAACTCAGTGAAGCTTTTGTACCTTTAAATGTTAGAAAATGAAACTTGGTAGAGTATATCGACATGAGTTTACCTGAGAGGCCAGCGAACATGAGGGCAGTATAACCATACTCATGCTCATTACAGTTGACATCAG